ACAGAGAATAATCACACTAGAGAATTAATAGCACAACTGAAAGCTTTAGAACACAAAGAAGCCAATACACTCTGGAGGAGCAGATGCCAGGAAATAATCAAATTGTGGGCTGAAATAAATAAAATGGAAACTAGGAGAACAATACAAAGAATCAATATAACGAAGAAGAGTTGGTTCTTTGAGAAAAACCAGATAGGCAAACCTTTATCCTAACTTACCAAACAGCAGAGAGTGAACATGCAAATTAATAAAATCAGGAATGAAAAGGGGGGCATAGCAACAGACACAGAGGAAATCCAGAGAATCATCAGGTCATACTTCAAAAACCTATATTCCTCAAAATTCAAAAATCTAAAGGAAATGGACAATTTTTCTTGACAGATTTCACTTACTAAAATTAAATCAAGAACAGATAAGCAAATTAAATAGACCTATAACTCCTAATGGAATTGAAGCAGTCATCAGAAATCTCCAAACTAAAAAAAAAAGCCCGGGGCCAGATGGCTTCAGTGCTGAATTCTACTAGAAATTCAAGGAACAGATAATACCAATTCTCCTCAAAGTATTCCACACAATAGAAGCTGAAGCATCTTTGCCAAACTCTTTTTACGAGGCTTCAATAACCTTGGTACCCAAGCCACACAAAGACTCAAATAAGAAAGAGAACTACAGACCAATATCCCTCATGATCATTGATGAAAAAATCTTCAAGAAAATACTGGCAAATCGAATCCAAGAGCACATCAAAGAAATCATCCACCATGATCAAGTAGGCTTCATCCCAGGGGTGCAAGAATGGTTCAACATACGAAAATACATCAATGTAATCCACCATATAAACAGACTGAGGGAAAAAAACCCACATGATCTTCTCACTAGATGCCAAAAAAGGCTTTGACAAAATCCAGCACCCCTTCATGATAAAGGTCCTGGAGAGTTCAGAGATAACAGGAAATACCTTATCATAATAAAAGCAATATACACCAAGCCAACAGTCAACATCAAATTAAATGCAGAGAAACTCAATGCAATCCCTCTAAAATCGGGGATAAGACAAGGCTGTCCACTCTCTCCATACCTCTTCAATATTGTCCTTGAAGTTCTAGCTAGAGCAATAAGACAACAAAAGGAGATCAAGGGGATACAAATGGAAAAGGAAGAAGTCAAACACTTACTATTTGCAGAAGATATGATAGTCTATATAAGAGACCCAAAAACTCTACCAGGGAACTCCTACAGCTGATAAACACCTTAAGCAAAGTGGCAGGATACAAGATTAACTCAAAAAAATCTGTAGCCCTACTATATACTGATGACACATTGGTGGAGAAAGAAATCAGAGAAACATCACCCTTTACAATTGTCACAAACAACATAAAATACCTCAGGTAGCACTAAACAAAAAAGTGAAAGACCTGTACCAAAAGAATTTTGAGTCTCTAAAGAAAGAAATTAAAGAAGATTCCAGAAAATGGATAGATCTCCCATGCTCTTGGATAGGTAGGATTAATGTAGTAAAAATGTCAATCTTGCCAAAATCAATCTACAGATGTAATGAAATCCCCATCAAAATCCCAACACAATTCTTCACAGACATTGAAAGAATAATTCTTAACTTTATATGGAGAAACAAAGGACCCAGGATAGCCTCCCCCTCAAAAAACCTGTACAATAAAGGAACTTCTGGAGGCATCATCATCCCTGACTTCAAGCTCTATTACAGAGCTATAGTCCTGAAATCAGCTTGGTATTGGCACAAAAATAGACAGGTAGACCAATGGAATAGAGTTGAAATCCCTGATATTAACCCACACTCCTACTAACACCTGATTTTTGACAAACAATCCAAATTTATAGGATGGAATAAAGAGAACATCTTCAACAAATGGTGCTGGTATAACTGGATGCAGATATGTAGAAGACTGCAGTTAGACCCAAGCCTATCGCCTTGCACAAAACTTAAGCCAAAATGGATCAAAGATCTCAACATAAATCCAGCTACACTGAACCTGTTAGAAGACAAAGTGGGAAATACCCTTGAATTAATTGGTACAGGAGACCACTTCCTGAACATTACACCAGTAGCACAGACACTGAGGTCAACATTTGGTAAATGGGACCTCCTGAAACTGAGAAGTTACTGTAAGGCCTAGAACACAGTCACCAAGACAAAATGGCAGCTCACAGATTGGGCAAAGATCTTCATCAACCTCACATCTGACAGAGGGCTGATCTCCAAAATATACAAAGAACTCAAGAAGCTGGTCTCCAAAACATCAAACAATCTAATTAAAGAGTGGGGTACAGAACTAAATAGACAATTCTCAATAGAGGAATCTAAAATGGCTGAAAGACACATAAGAAAGTTTTCAACATCTGTAGCCATCAGAGAAATGTAAATCAAAACAACTCTGAGATACCATCTTACTCCTGACAGAATGGACAAAATCAAAAACAACAATGACAGTTTATGTTGGAGAGTATGTGCAGAAAGGGGAACACTTCTCCACTGCTGGTGGGAGTCCCAACTTATACAGCCACTTTGGAAATCAGTATGGCGACTCCTCAAGAAAAAGGGAATGAGTCTACTACAAGATCCAGCAATTTCACTTTTAGGCATATACCCAAAAGATGCACATTCATACAACAAGAACATTTGTTCAACAATGTTCATAGCAGCACTATTTGTAATATCCAGAAACTGGAAGCAGCTTAGATTCCCCTCAACTGAAGAATGGATATAGAAAATGTGGTACATTTATACAATGGAGTACTACTCAAAGGAAAAAAAAACAATGGAATTTTGAAATTTGCAGGAAAATGGATGGAACTAGAAGAAACTATCCTGAACAAGGTAACCCAATAACAAAAACACAAACATGGTATGTATTCACTCATATGTGGATTTTAGACATAGAGTAAAGGATTACCAGACTACAATCCACACTGCCAGAGAAGCTAGGAAACAAGCAGGACCCTAAGAGAGACATACGTGGTCCCCTGGAGAAGGGGAAAATGTCAAAATCCCCTGGGGCACGAACCCACGACCCTGAGATTACGAGTCTCATGATCTACGGACTGAGCTAGCCGGGCTGGAAGCAGGAAAGTTGCCGGGATGCAGTTTTAACTTGAGTTCCGCTCCTAGTGTAGTGGCAGATCAGTGGGCAAAGCTGTGTGTTTTTGCGCATCGGTGGGTGGAGATACCACATGTTGGTTTGAGTTACCCCAATATATTTTATATTGTTTTTATCTATTGTGAAGGCTGATGTTTCGATGATTTATTTCTTAGCCCATTTATCCTCTATATATAATAGGGCTACTGATTTTTTGAGTTAATTTTGTATCCTGCTACTTTGCTGAAGGTGTTTATCAGCTGTCGGAGTTCCCTGGTGGTTTTTTAGGTAACTTATGCAGTCATATCATGTGCAAATAATGAAAGTTTGACTTCTTCCTTTCCAATTTGTGTCCCCTTGTTTTCCTATTCTTGTCTTATTGCTCTACCTAGAACTTCAAGTACAATATTGAAGAGACATGGAGAGAGTGGACAGCCTTGTCTTGTTCCTGATTTTAGAGGAATCATGTTGAGTTTATCTCTATTTAGTTTGATGTTGGCTGTTGGTTTACTGTATATTGTCTTGATTATGTTCAGGTGTGTTCCTGTTATCCCTAAACTCTCCAAGAACTTTATCATGAAGGAGTATTCGATTTTGTCAAAGGCTTTTTCTGCATCCAGTGAGAAGATCATGTGTTTTTTCTTTTTCAGTTTGTGTATATGTTGGATTACATTGATGGCTTTTCCTATGTTGAATCATCCCTGGGATGAAGCCTACTTGATCATGGTGGATGATTTTTATGTTGTGTTATTAGATTCAATTTGCCAGTGGTTTATTGAATATTTCTGCATCAGTGCTCGTTGGGGATATTGGTCTGTAGTTCCCTTTCTTAATTGTGTCTTTGTGTGACTTGGGTACCAAGGTAATTATAGTCTCCTAAAAATTGTTTGGCAATGGCCCTTCTGCTTCAATTGTGTGGAACATTTTGAGGAATATTGGTATTAGCTGTTCTTTGAACTTCTGGTAGAATTATACAAAGAAGCTATCTGGCCCTGGGATTTTTTGGTTGCGTGAATTTTGATGACTGTTTCTATTTCATTAGGGGTTATAGGTCTGCTAAAATTGCTAATCTGTTCTTGATTTAATTTTTGTTAGTGATATCTATCCAGAACTTTAACCTGTTTTCGTCTCTATGTAAAATTTAATATGCAAAGAAATGTTGTTTTCTTTTTTGAATTTTTCTCCTCCCCAAATCATGTTTTTTTTGGGTAGCTGTGGGATCAAGTCTTTTTTTTTTGGGGGGGTGTTGTAGCTAAGAAACAATTCCAGCCCTTCGCAAGGAGACATCTTGTTGATGCTGGTGTTCTTATTTCAGTCCGGGGCATTGCAGATAACAGTCCTTTTTCATCCTAGCTTGATGTTGCCTTTGTGGCCAAAGCTATTCATGCCTAGGGCACATTAAAGTAGAACAATTCTATTTATGGACCTAAGTGACTAGTATTGATTATTTTCCTTATCAGTGGTCCATATCCTCTGTAGATGTTCTTAACCATGTCTGACTTCAAGTTGTAGCACTATAGACCTTACTTAGACCCCCATATTCATATTTTATGTAAACATGCACCATACAGATGAATTCTGAAAATCTGACCTAAGGCTCTGAATCTTAGTCTGAGAAACTTTGTGGGGAATGCTTGGCTGAGTCAGGAACATTCCTGGTGCATGAACCTGAGGACCTGATCTGGACACCCAAGCACACATGTAAAAACTAGATGCAGCAATGTGGTGTAATGCCAGTCTGGGGAGGCAGATATAGGCAGATCCTTGAAACCAGTAGGCCAGCCAGGCTAGCCCAAAGTGAACTCTGGTTTCAGTGAGAGACCCTGTCTCAAAAACTATGGTGGAAGAGTAATGGAGGAAGATTTGGACACCTGTGGCCTTCACATCCATGTACCGACACAAGCAAGCACAAATATACAAAGGAACTCACACAGAAAGAGAGAGAGCAGTGATGGGAGAAGAAATCTGGTGTGAGCATCCACTGCTTGGTAGCAGAGTGATAGGTAAAGTAAAGTAAAGAGTCCCAGAATGAAGACAATGAATTTCCTCAACAAACTGCCAACTGAACACAAATTGAGAGCAGAGTACCAGAAAGAGGAGGGATAGACAGACTGTCACATACTTGTGAGGGTTAAAGCATTTCTCTCACCATAACACTCTCTTTGGAATAAATTCATACCAGATAAAATGGAAAAACTACCTTTGTAGATCCCATTATGAGAAAGAGCTGAGATATTTTTACAGTTGTAAACTGTGTATACAGACTGCAATTCAATTCTGAACATCCAAGTCAGGTGGCTCACAACCATTTAGAGCTCCAGCTCCAGGGAATCTCACTTTTTTTTACCAGCCAATACAGATATGACATACATACAAGAAAATAACACATTCTCTCTCTCTCTCTCTCTCTCTCTCTCTCTCTCTCTCTCACACACACACACACACAACTTCACTTAAAAAAATTTTTTAAAAGAAGAGGACATAGATAATATGCTCAATGATCCCCTGTTGCTCCTCGTCATCTGGGCCTGTTCCTTCTCCATCTTCTCAGTCAAATGTTTCACATGCTCCTGGTCCCATTTCTCTTTCTCTTTCATCAGCTGATCCTTCTTCTGTTGATCTTCCTCCAGTTGTTTTGCTGTAGTGTCTACATCTTCAGCTTTCACTAAAAGGAAAACCAAGAAGGAAGGTGTAAGTGCATCACATATTGCTCTCTTCTTTCTCACCTGCTTCATAGCAGTCTGTTACGTGCAACTCCTGCGCTTGGTGTGTGGGGCTGTGAGGGTAAAGCTGAAGCAACAATGGAGACCCCAGCAGTTATACGTGCCAAGATTGTGAGATGTCCACTGATGTAAGCTGGAGTCATTTAGTGGACATTGCCCTGGAGAGAGCCCTTGTGTCCTGTAAACAACAGGGTCCTAGAGGCAGGGCCTGTAGGCTTATGTTGTCTAGAAAAAGCCACCACATCTACTTGATGTTGAACATGAAGCTAAAGGATTCCAATGTTGCCCTTCTAGGTTCAGTCTAGCTTTGGTATGTTCTGTCCCTTCTATCCCCCCGAATACTGCAAATGCTGAAGTTTCTTTTGCACCATTGTAAATTACAGGATGCTTTGAGTCTCAGGTGAGATGGTGGACTTTTATAAACTGTTAGAATTATAAGATTATGGGGAATTTTGAAGTTGGTCCAAATGCATTTTGTGGTCTGGGTAGAATATTATGGTTTGAAGGTAAATGTTTATCCCAAGTGTGGTAATATATTATTTATGATTTATGATTATTAAGGCAAGCTTGAGGATATAGAAAGCAAAGCTAGCCATAAGGCACAGAGCCAGACAGTGTTGATACCTAACTTTAACCCCAGCAGCTGCACTAGCTGTCATAGAGCCAGATGGTGGTAGTACACACTTTTAATCCAGAACTCAGGAGACAGAGGTAGATGGGTCTTTGTTAGCTAGAGGCCACACTGAGCTACATGAAATTGATCCAGTTTAAATAAAAACAGCTCCCACAAAGGTGGTCTCAGCGCTTGTGTTTACATGCCTTTAATCCCAGCATTAGGGAGGTTTATAAGACAGGAGCAAGTTCTCAGAGCTGGCATTCAGTCTGAGAATTAGTTTCCAGCCACGTTGAAGAGAGCATAGCAGTCTGAGTTTTGGTGGAGAGCATGGTTGCTCTGATGTTTTGTGGAGACAGGATCAGACCTTTCAGCCTGAGGCAGAAGTAAGAGCTAGTGGCCAGCTGATTTGGCTCTCTGATTTTCAGATTGAACGTTGAACCCCAATGTCTGTCTGTGAACTTTTATTAATTTGTGTTACACAGAGGCTCATGTATTTGAACACTTGGCCCCCAGTTTGTGGTTCTGTTGGGAGATTTGGAAGTGTTGGGAGGTCATTAGGACCTGATTGGTAGAGGGTGGCCTTTGAACATTATTGCTAGCCTTGCTCATGCCCCCCTGCTCTTTGCTTTCTGGTTAGTCATGAAAAAGCCACAAGCTCCTTCCACTATACATATAGCCATAAAGTCCTCTTTTCCTGTCATAGTGGACTGATGTCCTCTGAACTGTGAGGAAAGTCAATCCTTCTTCCTTGCATTTTTGCTGCCAGTCATTCAATCAGTGATGAGATGAATACAAAGGAAGAATCAGTCACAAAAACCCAGAGTTTGTGTGAGTCTACTAATTCACATGACATTCTAGATGTAGCATGTAGCGTGTGGTCCAGGCTGGGCAATGAGCTACTTCTGGAGATGGATGGGGGAGATATGCAGATGCATACATTTGTTTAATGCCACAGAACTAGATACTTAAAAATATAAAGAAAAAGCTTTTTTAATTTATAATAATCAAAAGTCAATACATAAAATATAGATACTCTTCTTGACCTTAAAGGCCAGTAGAAACTGCATGTCATTGCATGACCGTTTTAGCAATACTTTAAAGTTTATTAACATATAAATTAAATTTATATATTACTTCATTTCTACTTCTAGGAAAGGAACCAGTTGTGGTAAACTAGGAGTTAGATATAACAGTGCATTCCTGTAATCAGCACTCAGGAGGCCAAAGCAAGAAGATCATGAGTTCAAGGTCAGCCTGGACCACATGATGAGCTAAAGGCCTGCTTGTGCTATAAAGCATGACCTTGTCTCAAAAATAAAAGCAAACAGACAAAGTAACAACAACAAAAATGATCCCAACATCTAACTGTGAGGTTAAATTCTTCACACTCTCATGAAGGAAGGAGTGTACTCTTGGGACCAAGCACAGCTGTGTTGTGTCATTCACCTCTTTTCTTCCCAGTCAGTTTGTTTGTCAGGTAGGATTTGACTGTGTGTTAGAGATGGCCATCACTACCACAGGCTGGCTGCAAGATGTCACAGAGGTTTCTCAGAGCCTCCTGGTTAGCTATCAGTTGACCTTTCCCATTCTCAATAAGGCACATGAGGCCTGGCATGTGGACCTCTGCAGCCATTGTGCAGCCTTGTCCCCTGTCTCTAGTGGGACAGGTGAGATTAGCTGGAATCTTGTTCTTTCTCTCAGAAGGTAGAGTTATGAAACTCTAAAAAATCACAACAGTGTTGTGTGCATCAGAGTCAGAGGTAAAGGAAACCTGCATAATTTTAGAATCCCAGAAATGTAATATGAAAGTGACAACATTCTACTGCTCACACAACACAAATATTCTGTTGAGTTTTGCATTGAAAAATTTCCTTATTAAAGATTTTTCTAGACTTCAAATGGAAAATAAAATCTGATTTAGAGAAATTATGTTATATTAAAGCTTATATAATTATTCAAATATTCATTTATTCACTAGTCTACCATTGTAGTGAGTAAGACCCATGGAGTTAATGCTTCATTGTTTCATGCATGCCCTTACAATGATTTCTAGGTATTATAAAATATATTCATTCTATGTACCTGAATAGTTATATCCATCTTGTGGCCAGAATTTCTAGAGATTATTAAAAGTGTTGTTAGGTACCAAAAATTATCAGTGAGAAAGTTTCTCAGGGTCCAAACCCTGGGCTCCATCTTTCAGAAACCTGAACCTCCATTGTATTGCAGATGCTGGCTAATTGCTGCTGGATGACATAGCCTCAGTGAGGAATGTCTCCTAGTTTGCCTTAGAACAGGTCTAGACCCTGAATGTGCCACAACTATGCTGAGAACTCTGTCTATGTGCTTAGAGACTGTTTAGGTGACTATTGAATTAAAAGAATTACTTGATATCATCTCTATTACATGATAATAGATGACTTCTGGTTCTGCCCCTGCCCTTGGAAAACTATTTAAGTGGATCCTTCAATAAACTGTGGCTTTTTCGGTCTGCTGGAAGCCCTCCTGAGATGATCTGGTATTTCCTGTCTCATCCTTAGTGCCATTGGGTACTTAGCTTCCCCAGGTCCATACACCCCCACTCGATATCGGACCCAGGACTGTATGGCTGGCTCCGTGCGAAGTCCCAAAGACAGCAGTCTGGAATAATGTGTCCACTCTATCTATCCTAGTAGTTATTCTCACATGGCAAATAGTCTGTATCTACAGAATTAATTACATTGCCATTCCAACAAGTGAACCAACATAATGTGTTTTTAGCAAACTTTGTGGAAGTATTGGACAGTGTCTTTTCCAAAGAAATGGCTGCACAAGAGCAGTACATTGAAATTTAAGCTTTGTTATCTATGAATGAGCAATGAATAAAAACCGTGTTTAGTGTCACAGCAAATGTGATTAAACTCAGCTGCGCAAATACTGGATATTACAAAGCACAACTGTGAAGTAAATAGCAAGAAATCAGGGAGCTGGTGGTTCAAAGCGTTACTTCCTGACAGACTCCTTAGGTTTTCTGTTTAGTTTTCATTTGGGAGAGAAAGGAGAAACACAAAGAAGAATCTGAGAGCTGAGGAGAACAAAGCTATCAAGGGAGAATGTGATGGGTGAGAATGGTATCTGGACTGCGGTTCTGGTTTCCAGAAGATGGCCATTTGTCTAAGGACCTGGAGTTGGGGAAAAGGTAAGCAGCCTTAGTCCTCAGCCTTGTGAGCTGTTCACTACAGTATGGGTGCTGACTCCGCAGGGGAGGATTACAAAGTAAGTGGACATGAGGAATGAGCCAACCTTCCAACCGAAGGAAGAAATTCACGTGGCAGCCAAGATCAGATGTGTGATGACCACTGTCCTGTCCTTCATCTTTCACTCTGGGTTTCAGCTATGACATGAGGTTCCCAGAAAACAACCACAACTGTGTCAATGAACCTACAAGGACTTATTAGAATTCGTGTGAATGTGGAGATCTGATTGTTATTAATCTGGAACCAAATTTTCATTGGTTCTCCTTAGCTGCCCCGTGGCCTTTTATTCTCCATCATTGTGGTTGACTTAGGCACCTTGTGACTTTTAACTAAAATTCTTTCTGGAACGTACAAAGAGAACCCTAGGCTCACCACTGTAAAGGCTAGAATATCATCAGATTGCATCGGAGGGTCTATAGCAAGCTCTCCCAATTTGCTATTGAAGGGACCAGCTCCCCATTTCAGCAGCCATAACAGCCGAACACGTGCTTGTCTGACCTTGTCTCGGTCACTAGGAAGTCAGATGCCTGCCTCGTGGCAAGGGACCAATCAGAAGTTAGCAGGTGGTACTATGCTTTACGGCTCTGTGTGTGCTTTACAGACAAGTACACAGCAATGACGCGCAGAGCATAGCAAGCACCCTGGGAGGGCCTATGGGCCATAACAACCAGTTGACAAATCAACACAGAGCAACCCCTGCGAGCCTGGAGGCACACCAATCCTGAGCCTGTGTGTGCCCCTAGACACTCACCTTATGCTGCCCTATAAGATCCCTATGCAGACGCTTGGAGCTGTCTTTCCTAGCCATCCACCATGGTGGGTGGATGAAAGACCCGAGCTAACATGGGGTTAGCTTGTTAAACAACTACAATTAAAGCCTCTTGCTGTTTGCATCAAGTTTCTGCCTCCCCCTGGTGATTGGGGTGGCCGAGGTCCTGGGCTGAGGTCCTGGGGGCCTGAGCTTCCAAGGGTCTTTCATTTGGGGGCTCATCCTGGATTTGTGACCATCCCTCGCTTGAGTGGAGTCGATCTTGGAGGTAAGATTGATCGAGCTCGCAATTTATTTTTTCAATGTTATGTCCATGTTTGTCTTGTTATATCTCTTGCTGTTTTGACTTGGAAGTTTTGCCTTCGAAGGACTTGTATTTGGTAATTTGGAACACAGGGGGAGACAGATGTGTCCTGAGGCCCTTGGACAAAGGTCTGAGGGTTGTTTGATTTGGACCACAGGGAAAGCAGACGTGCCCCAGAGACAGACGTGCCCTGGGCCCATTGGTCCTGTCCTGGATCAAAGTCCAAGGGTTGTTTGTAATTTTGGTTTGGGCACCATTCTAGTTTGCCACACGGTTTGTCCTGTCTGTTGTGTCTGTCCTTCTGTTTTTTCTGTTTGTGTCCATTTCTGTTCACCCCATGGTTCAACAATTAACCACCCCCATCCCCGGATTCCACTTCAACTGTGATCGGCAGATGTGCCCGGAGAATCACAGACTGCTGCCCTGAGGACACCTAGGAGGTACGGATGGAGGCCAAGGACGCTTGGACCCTCCTCAATTAGTGGCGATTGTAGCCTCTTGGTTCTGCCGCCGTCTGCCTGACGCCATTGCTTTATAAGCGGCATGGACAGATTGGGTTGGTGTCTGTTCTTTTCTGTCTGTTCTGTCTCTGTGTGTTTTTATCATTGGTTTTCACTTCAGAATTCACCACGACACCCCGTTTCCTTGAGTCATGTGGCGCCACACTAGGTAACTTTCTTATTCAATCTTTGTTTTTGTATCGTTTCTGTAAAGCCTGGAGGGTTGGAACAGGCTGTATGAATGGGCAGTTGAGAGGTTTATTATCTGTGTCATCTGACCTGTTGCAATCCACACACTGCCTGCATGCTTTTCGGTGCTGTGTCAGTTTTGTGTTATCAGGTCTGCTGTTTCTGTTAACTTTGTAAACTGTGCTGTCTGTCCAAGTTTCACAATTGTGCTGTGTGTTTTTTAAGTGTCTCTCTCTGTTCTTACTGCCCACGCACGCGGCATGCGTAGGTCAGGGGTCTTTTCTTGCCCTGAGCACCTGGCATGCGGGACAGGAGTTCCTCTGCCATGTGCCATGGGTTAGAGTGTGCTGTGGCAGAGTCCCCTGAGGCTGCTGCTCTGAACTTCAACCACTGCTTCGGCCTGCACAGCTGGGCCTGGCCGGTGCAGATGAGTCTGTCTTTCCATCCTCACTTGCCAGCCTGATAGAATCGAAAAGGGATTCTCTCTGCCCCAACTGCCATCCTGCCGTGGGTCCTGGCTTGTGGCGGGATTTTCCTTGCCCTGAGCATATGGTGCAGGGTGGGTGATCCAAAACAGAATGGCCTTGAAGTTATTAAAAATCATAAAAGGACTTTGATAAGAGTCTTTATGTTGGCTGAGAAATGAAAGAAAATATATGAGACTAAAGTAATAAAGAAGGAAAAGGAAAGAGAAATTTGTCTAAGAATGTCTAAGAAAATCAGAGGAATGAACTAACGGTATATAGAAAGTTATAGAGGGTCAAAGAAAGTCGTAGAAGGTCAGAGGAAAGTTGTCAAAGGTCAGAAAAAAGTTGTTAAAAGTCAGAGAAAAATGTAAACTTTTTGTTATGGTTTCTCATGTCTACAAATACTAAATTTTAAAAAATTGGTAACATAAGTTAAAATTTTAATGATATTAAGCTAATTCTATTTAAAAAGTTCTGTTTATTTCTCAAGTAAATATGTATGCTTGTTTTAAGATGTTTTTTTCCTGGCATAACCTAAGTTCTGTTACAAGCATACAGCTAAAACAAATGGTGCAGCCCTCCACATGGCAAGCTGGTCACACAGCTGACAGGTAGCCATTTTGCTGAAGCTGAAAAAAAGATACTTAAACCGCCATCTTGACTAAAGACCACATGGAAATTAGGAGGAAAAAACTTAGAAACAAGTTTTTCAATTAGATTTAAAATGTTAATGCTTCTATATATTACAGAAAGACATTAAGGGATTTAAATTTTCCTTTTAAAACCAGTTTTTTAAATGTTTATGCTTTTTAAAAATGTTTTTTTTAATGTTTGTACTTAAAGAACTTCAATTTAAAATCATTTTTTAGCAAAGCCTGACAATGTAAAGTTCTTGTTTTATAAAAACTACTAATCGATTATAAGGTGCTACAGTTTATGTTTTCAGAAGTTAAGTTTAGGGTGTTGGTGGCGCATGCCTTTAATCCTAGCACTCGGGAGGCAGAGGCAGGTGGATCTTTGTGAATTCAAGGCCACCCTGTTCAACAGGGCAAATTCCAGGACAGGCTCCAAAGCCACAGAGAAACCCTGTCTCAGAAAGAAGTTAAGTTTAAGCAAGCAAGTAAAATATGTACATGTAGCTACCATTTAAGGAATATAAGGTAACTCTATGCATTTTTAAATTCAGCTGTGCTAAGTTTCAAATATTTTACTAAGTTAAAACTGGTTACGGTCAGACTGAAAATTAATTACAGAAATAAGTCCTTACCTAGCCACCTGTGTGCTTAATGTGTGCTTAAGGCAAGTAACTAAACAGACAAACCTCTAAGGCTTCAGAGACCTGCAGAATATGACATTTAAAATGTTGTTTTAAAAGTTTATATCAGACAGACTGCCAGATCCTGACCATAACCCAAAGTCTCCAAAGAAGATTATGAGGCATCCCAGTTCCTGCACCTGGATGGTGACGACACTGACCAATGACCAGATGCTCAAATGTGGCACCTGCTGCCTGCCAGGACATGGCCAAGACTGTGGACAAAGCTGCTGGACACTGGAAATTTGATTGCACCCTCTTTGGCTAGACAAAACAAGGTCAGTCTTTTCCATGTCCCTCTTCCACAGAGAGAAAAAAAACTCTCACCTTACAGGCTTGGTGAAGATTGCTGTTCTTTGATACTTCTGCCTCCAATGATAATGGAGAGACTTGGGTATAGCTAACTGTATATGGACTGGCTTCTAACTGACTTCTGTTTCTTTTTAGTAGATTCAGAAACTGTATAACATATACCCTTCTCAGATCTCTGAAATATTAAGGGTTGTCAGCTTGACAGCATCAGGCAGTCAGATCCACTATAGACTATAGTCAGCATGTTAGCTGATTAAGTAGGGGCTACCTACTGTTCAGTCACAAGCTCAAGGTTTTTAGGTTTATTTTGGTTGTCATCTAAGTATAAACTTAAAGGGCTTTTCATCAGGCCATAGGCACCTCTGTCCAATCCATACCTGGCTCTCTGGACAGAAGAAAAATGTACATGTTTCTAGCCCAAATCTATAGTTTTTGCTAGGACTCAAAATTATAAATATGTTCCTGTTGTTTGAACAGATCCAGATATCTGCTTTTTCTGTACTGTGGGCTTCAGTAAATAAATTTTAACTTCTGTTCTGAGTTTAAACATGTCTTAAACAGATTTCTGCTTCTGGCAGACACATCTGAGTATCAGTTGCTGACTACAGGCTGTTCCTAAGTAGACTGCGAGCCCTGGACTTGCTGTGGATGTGAACCAGTCCAGCTGATGCGGACATCCCGTTTCTGCAACAGGGTCTGCCAAACAGAAGCTCCTTATGGATTCCCCATTGCCCAAATTCCCTTTTATTTTGCTTTTGACTAGCATTTCAGCCTTCGTGGGACCCTAACTTTGTCCCAAAGTCAGCAGGAAGTAGCATGGGAAAGAATATGTTGCCCCTTTTCCCTGGTTGAAATGCTAAGTCAGAAGGTACTCCCTTACATTGGTATGCCAATACCTCTCACTCCCTCTTGCCCCTTTTCCCTGGTTGAAATGCTAAGTCAGAAGGTACTCCCTTACAATGGTATGCCAATACCTCTCACTCCCTCATGGGGACGCTGGAGAGACAGCAATTCCATGATTGGAATCTCCAAAAAAAATGGGGGAATGAAGGGACCAGCTCCCCATTTCAGCAGCCATAACAGCCGAACACGTGCTTGTCTGACCTTGTCTTGGTCACTAGGAGGTCAGATGCCTGCCTCGTGGCAATCAGAAGTTAGCTGGTGGTGCTATGCTTTACGGCCCTGGGTGTGCTTTACAGACAAGTGCACAGCAATGATGCACAGAGCATAGCAAGCACCCTGGGAGGGCCTATGGGGCATAACAACCAGTTGACCAATCAACACAGGGCAACTCCTCCAAGCCTGGAGGCACACCAATCCTGAGCCTGTGTGTACCCCTAGACACTCACCTTATGCTGCCCTATAAGATCTCTATGCAGATGCTTCGAGCTGTCTTTTCTAGCCATGGTGGGTGGATGAAAGACCCGAGCTAACATGGGGTTAGCTTGTTGAACAACCACAATAAAGCCTCTTACTGTTTGCATCAAGTTTCCACCTCTGCCTGGTGATTGGGGTGGCTGAGGTCCTGGGCTGAGATCCTGGGGAACTGAGCTTCCGGGGGTCTTTCAGCCATATCTGCCTGCCCCACATTGCCACCAATGCATTTTAAGAGGACCTTGATCTATGATTTTCTTTACTCTCCTGCTACAGAAATTTCATGGAACTTGACATGTTGGTACACTGTGTGTGATTAGGTGAGCTTGTGGTCCTGAGCCCTCAATCAGTCATAGTCAGCTCTAGAATAGACCGTATGTCTTATTCACTTTGTGTTTCTCACCTCAACACAGCATTTTCTCTCTTTGTCCTTCACCAAGGTGGTGGCTCTTCACCATGCATCACTTTCTGTGTCCCCTCTCGAAAATCAGCCACAGTCAGCCCTTTCAGTAGTAGCTCTGCTCCATCCTGATGATAATAGTATTTTTGTCTGTGCCCCTGTCACCAGAAAAGAGGTGAACACTGAGAAAGACAATCCCAATGCATATCTTGCCCTGTTTCAGCCACATGTCTCCTGCCTGGTTCCTAACTCAAACCGAGTGTGGTGGTTGCCTGGGAGACTGGCTACCCTCACAATACCACCCATCTGCCTCTCTGCCTCTGCCCCTGCCCAGGAGCTGCCTTTTCTAGTCACAGTAGTTCTAAAGAAAGTGAATTAATCCTGAAAATGCCATCTCATTTCTGCCCAGGCTGATGGCTTCATGTTTCTGATCAGAACTCCCCAGACCTAGCAAGAGTAAGTTCCCCTTCTTACTGCTCTTGCTGCTCAGCACAGGTGCACGGGCTTTGCCTTTTGTCCTTTATTTCCTCTTGCAATCCTATGAGGCTTTCTGGAGTTCCCCAAGTGAGCAAATGCTGATAATTCCTGTAACCTTTGATTAGGGTGAAGTACTGAGAAACTGAAACTTTCTGGTCACTGCAGGGAATCAACAATTGTGTCAATGTTCAGTGAGCTGTGTTGGGGGAGGGTTTGACAGGACTTCCCAACCAGAATCTTCAATATTTGGTTCATGAGATCATGAGCCCATCTCAGCCTAGACAGATGGGGGAGGGCCTAGACCCTGCCCATGATGATATGACAGACTTTGGGGATTCCCCATGGAGGGCCTTACCCTTTCTGGGGAGCAGAGTGGGGATGAGGTGGGGAGGGCTTGGTGGTGGATGGGGGAAAAGGGGAGGGAGATTGATCAGGGATTGTTATGTGAAGCAGGCTTGCTTCTAATTTGAACTAATAAAAAATAATTTCTTGGGAAAAAAATCATGCCGCAAGACGGAGCCCAAGCCTGAAATGATCTGCATGACCAGGAACAAGTGCAGAGGTTGGATAGCACAGCGATCCAGGATAGACCTGAACATGACTGGGGAAAAAAAGGCAAACAAGCACAGAAACAAAAAGTAACCAAACAAAAAACCTCAAGGCATTTCCTTGTGATATGGAATAATTTTCATTTTGTGGGCTGCTTGGAAAAACATAGATGAGGAATTCTTTATAGCCTAATCTTTATAGCCTAATTTCTGAAAGTTACAGACAAATGATGGAATTGCATATTCTTTCAGAGGTGTACTAAGTGAGGGGGAAGTGTGTCTTCCAACTCCTGACACCCAGTGCCTGGTTTGTAGGCTCAGTGCAGTCATGTGGTTGGGCCTTTTTTTCATAAGGAGTACCAGTTAAATGCTGATGTATTTTCTGTGACCATATATGCTAATGTCATAGCAGATATTGCCCTGAGTTCATAGAAATAAAGACAGAGGAAGCTTTTACCAGGCATCAAGTTATAACATCTAAGGAATCTTGATGAAAGCCCTGTTGACTCCTAAGCTGTGCCTTGAACCACCTTACCATGCTTCCTGTCTGTGTACTGAGTGAATAGCTATGACAACCTCATGGACAGACTGATTTCTAATAGAGTCTTCTCTTCCATGCTGAAGTCAGCCCTTTCTGACTATAATCATGAGGACAGAGGGTGCTGTCTCTAATGTGGTGCCATTGTGACTTTCAAGCTGGTCTCAGTACGCTGAAATTGAAACACGGGAGCTTCAAGTGGGGGGTGGTAAGGTTTAAAGAAGGATTTGAAGTCAGATGAAAACTTTCCTTGGGGCTGTGGTTTGTGACTCTTATGGAAAGTCACCATCATGAGTGGGATTTCTAAAGAAATCTTGATTCCTCTTTCCTGTCTCCCTATGTGACCTCATTCTCCATCACTGTGGGCCTTCTTGACATGATGGCATGTGCCGTGTTGCAATGTAACTAACATATTTTCAGCAGAAAATGGATTACCACTCTTGGATTTTTAGCTTCCAGTGCTGGCAACCAAATGAATCTATTTTATGTATAACATTACATCCTCAGATATTTTTTTATTTTTTCATTACAACAGCAAACTGACAGAGGACACACATATTCCTGCCTCAGTTCTTGCAGCTAGTCTCAGTGGTGGTATGAAAATGTTCAAGTATTTGTCTCTATGCTCCTTCTCCTTTCTTAATTGAGCCTTTATAAACATGCCTGGTATTCACACCAAATTTTCCCTTTCTCTATATTAAAGGTCAGAACTGAGAGCTGTCTTCTCTGATGATTTTGATTTGCTCTTTATCCTCACTATCCAGTTCTTTCCATGGGTCCCACAGATTTGGATCCCAAGAAGGGCTCCTCAGCACTGATCTAACTTGTTTGGATTCCTTTCATTTACATCCAGTCAGCTGCAAGATGTGCCAAGCCGGATCCTCAACTCACCCTCCTTTCTCTTCTACTTTTCCTGACAAATCAGGGGCAAATGAAGCAGATAGCATTGATCCCTGGCCCCACTCTAAGACCTCCATTACTTTGTCAAACTTACTTTGTGAAGACAGCTAAAGACAACTCAAAACAAAGACCACACAGCAACTACTGACAAATTTGCTTACAAACCCATGTACTGTGTGGTACTCTGCTGTTGCAATTACTTATTCTATCTAGTATCAGGAGTATCCTACACTTATGGGATGGACTCTGTCCATCAAAGAGGCACAACAGTCCATAGCAAATAGAGGGAGGTGTTTGGACTGGTATTTCCCTCCAGGTTACTCTGACTCTGAGGATCAGTGTTCAGGTGGTGAGTCTCATCCTCTTAGGGAGCATGTGATCACTTCTACACCGAGAGGCACAGCTTCCATCCTGCATGGATAAATAGAACCTTATAAAGATTGGATTTTCAGGCTGGGCATTGGTGGCACACGCCTTTAATCCCAGCACTCGGGAGGCAGAGGCAGGTGGATCTCTGTGAGTTTGAGGCCAGCCTGGTCTCAGAGCGAGTGCCAGGATAGGCTCCAAAGCTACACAGTGAAACCCTGTTTCAAAAACAAACAAACAAACAAACAAAAAAAGATTGGATTTTCAAGGTTACATGGATCAGTCTTGGTTTCCTGTCTCAGCACCCACGGAAGGGACTGTGCCATCAGGACTATGCCCAACCCATCTTTGCTTCTTTTGGTGCCTGTGCAAGTGACAATTTGTGTTATGTGACTTTTCTAAAGAAGAAATGAATGACTTTCATTTCTTTATAAAAAATGGTACAGATGACATATCAGAGAAATGGTCCCATCCAAGAATAGGGTGAACCAGTGAGAAGGTGACTTAAAGGCAGTGATAAGAAAGCCCACCATGGCCATGAGTAGGGAACACATATTTACGTTACCCCACATTCCACGTTCCACTGTGGAAACACTTTCATGAAATTTCTATAGTAACAGACAAAATAAGTCATAAATCAAGACACACCTCAAACATATTAGTTGAAACCCTAGGAGAGCAGGCTACAAAAATGTGGGGAATCTCTCACATACTATCAAGAGGATATTTTCAGATTTTGGGTTGATGGAAGTCAGAAGGCATGCTCCTATTTCAAAAGGACTTACCTAATTGTCCCAAAAATGTTGCATCACACATGGAGCTGAACCATGAATGGCTACTTAAGAGGAATAAGGAAACTTAACCATGCTTTGGCACTTAGCATCCCAGCCTACTCACAACCAGTGAAGTTTTGCTCAGGCATTAGCTTTGTAGGAGGGTTCATTCAGCTTCTTTTTGGGATCTTCAGTTTACAAACAATACTTTCAGGTTTGTACATGTCACTAAGTGTGCTGTCAATCATCAGATTGAGTGCAAATGAGCAAATGTATTCAGCACTTTTCATTCTAGGCATTGCCATTCTATAATTGAAAGAATTAAACACTAGCTATAAAAGTCCACATATGCCGTTACATAGATGGCACTATACATAATAAAAAATAGCTGTTCCACTTTGGAAATCAGTATGGCGACTCCTCAAGAAAATGGGAATCAGTCTACCACAAGAGCCAGCAATTCCACTCCTAGGCACATACCCAAAAGAAGCACATACATACAACAAAGACATCTGTTCAACCATGTTCATAGCAACACTATTTGTAATAGCCAAAAACTGGAAGCAGCCTAGATGCCTCTCAACCGAAGAATGGATAGAGAAAATGTGGTACATTTACACAATGGAGTACTACTCAGAAAAAACAATGGAATCTTGACATTTGCAGGAAAATGGATGGAACCCAAAGAAACCATTCTGAGCGAGGTAACCCAATCACACACAAAAAAAAACCAAACAAACAAGATATGTATTCACTCATATGTGGATTTTAGACATAGAGTAAGGGATTACCATCCTACAAATCCACACTGCCAGAGATACTAGTAAACAAGGAAGACCCTAAAAGAGACAAACTTTGTCCCCTGGTGAAGGGGAAAGGTTCACCATCACCTGAGAAAATTGAGAACATGGGAAGAAAGGGGAGGCTGCTACGAGAGTGAGAAGGGAAGAAAAGGAAAGAAGCAGAGGTCATGAGGAAGCAGAAATTTTGAGTCAGGTGTAGATTAGAAGAAAGGACATATGACAGGTAGGATTTTAGTTGGGGGGGTGGTAGAGGACGAAGGGAGGGAGAAGGGAACTGGGATTATGATGTAATTCAATCTTGTTTGTAATTCAAAT